AGCGTTCCAGAACGCTCTGAGAGCGCTCCGGAACGCTCTGGAGCGATTTGTCCCGATCCTAGCCTTGTTTTAGGGGAAGTGAGAAAAAGAGGGCCTGCTCAGAGGGCTCGGAAGGCCCCCCCAGCCTCTGAGCAGTTCTCTGAGCCTCCCCCGAAGACACAAAAGCACAGCTTCCCAGAAGGCGCGAGGGCTTCTGAGGAGTCCCGCCGCCTTCTGGGAAGACCTTCTCCTTCTCATTTCCCCCCTCGCTCGCCGCCTGGCTCTCCACGCCCCAGTCCCTGGGCGTCCACGCCCCGGGCCTTCTCCGAGCCTCCCGCCCCGCGGAGGGGAGCGACGGGCCAGCCGCTTGCATGGCCTGGCGTGTCGCCCGGGCCGCCGCGGCGACGCGCTGAGCAGCAGCTCCCGACCGCATCACGAGCCGCCCGCCGCGGTCTTTCACGGCGAGAGGGCGTGAGGGGCACGCTTGCCTCCTCCCCCGGCTCGCTCGCTCTTCCCGCGCGCCCGTCGGGGCCGCCTACGATCCGATGCGAGGCGATGCGATTCGCGGACGGGGCACGCGATGCCGATTCCACTCGAGCTGGCGCAGCCGGAGCGGGGCGCGGCGAGCCGACGTCCGTTCGATGCGAGCCGTTTCTCTGGCGATCTGAGCCGCTTGCGATCCGAGCAGATTGCGCGGTTCGATCACTGCCCTGGAGGAGGAGGAGGAGGAGGAGGAGGAGGAGGAGGAGGAGGAGGAGGAGGAGGAGAAGAGGAGGAGGAGGAGGAGGAGGAGGAGAGAGAGGAGAAGGAGGGGGAGGAGGAGGAGGAGGAGAGGAGGAGGAGGGGGGAGGGAGGAGGGGGAGGAGGAGGAGGAGGAGGATCTGGCCCAGCTCTTCAGCCTCGTTTCACCGACCCCCGTCCCGTCCCCATCCCTATCCAGACCCCCGCCATCTCAGCTCCCCGGTGGAGAATAGATGGTCCAGGGTCTTGGCCCTCCCCCCTCATGCTGATGCCATCGGCCCCCCCCCCTCCCCCGCGACATGGCCCCCCCCCCCCCCCCCCCCCCTGTGGGTGGTGTGGTGCTGTGGGTGTGGCGTGTGTGGCGTGGTGCTGTGATGCTCTAGGAGAGCTCTCGAGGTCGTCGTCGTCGCCGCCCCCTCCGCCGTCGTCCCCCCCCCCATCCCATCAGGGGGGAGGGGCCCGAGGGGACCCCGAGGCCCATCCCATCTGGCATCGTGCGTGCCCCTCGCAGCCCGGAGGAAGCGGCTTGCACATCCCCATCCAGGGGAAGCCATCGGCCATCCGGGCCACGCCCATGGGGATGGGGGTCGGTTCAGCGAAGCTCAGCTCCGCCAGCGCGGGGCCATGGCGCCTGGGCGGCCCCAGCGGCGGCGGCGCGGCGGCGCCGCCGCCGCCGTCGGGGCCCTCAGCGCGGCCGCGGCTGCCGCGTCCCGCGTGGCCGCCAGCTCCGAGCAGGCGTGGAACCCCGCGGTGGCCTGGCGGCGCGTGCCGCGGCCCTCGGCCCGCGCCCCGGCGGCCGCCGCCAGGTGGCGCCGGCGCGAGCGGCCTCGGGCCGCCGCGGCAGTCACCGTCCGTGCCAGCGCGGGCGACGAAGTGGGCGGGCTGGTGCTCGAAGGTCGAGGGAGAGAGAGCGGCATGAGCATACGCTGTCGGAGCTCCGCGCGGGTCTCTCGGATCTGCGCTGCTCCCCCCTCCCCCAGCGGCGCCTCCGGCGCCGCCCCTGGCGCGCCGTGCGCGCCAGGGCTGATCGGTCCAGCGCCGATCCAAGAAGTCCGCGCGGAGCTCCCAGAGTGTATGTTTCATGCAGTCTGTCGCTTTCCTCGAGAAGAGCGGCTGGGTGCTGGCAGCTCGGGCACCACCTGGCGTGCCCGGCCTGCCCCTGGGGGTTGCGCCCTGGACCTCGGCGGGGAGGGGGCGGTGGCCGTCAAGCTGCTCCGGCTGGAGGACGGCTGGGGCGGCCTGGACAAGCTCGAGCGGGAGGCGTCGGTGCTCGGGCGGCTGGAGCACAGCGGGATACCCCGCTACTACGGCTCAGTGACCCGCGACAGGCCCGACGGGCGAGACTTTGGGCTCGTGTCCAGCCTGGTGCGCGGGAGGACGTTGGAGGCCCTCGTCGCCGAGGGCGGCTGGCGAGCTGAGGTCGCGGACGTGCGAGGCCTGGCGGTGTCGCTCCTGGAGACCAGCGCCTACCTCGCGGCATGCGTGCCCCCAGTAGTGCACCGGGACATCAAGCCAGCCAACGTCGTGATGGAGAGGCGCGACGGGGCTTGGCGGACCTTCCTGGTGGACTTTGGTGCTGCGGTGCTGGGCAGCGGGCGTCGAGAGACGGCCGTGGGCACCTTCGGGTTCATGGCCCCGGAGACCTTTGGCCAGGTCTTCACGCCCAAGTCGGACCTCTACGCCATAGGCGCCACCCTGCTCTTCGCCGTGACGGGCCTCGCGCCCGGCGCCTTCCCGCAGGAGCGCCTGCGGATCCAGTTCCGAGACGCCCTCGCGGGCACGCCCTGGGAGCGCGAGGAGCCGTGGCTGCAGGAGCTGCTCGACCGCCTCCTCGCACCCGCCCCGGAGGACCGCTTCGCCTCTGCGGCCGAGGCGCTGCGCTTCCTGCGCACGGGCCGCGAGGCAACGGCAGCGCCGCCCGGCGCAGATCGCAGGGAGGCGGCAGGGGCGCTGCCAGCAGAAGCCGCGGCACGCGAGAGTGGCCCTCTTCGCCTCGGGATGCGTCCCAGCACAGGTGCCTCGAGGAGCGCTCCGGAAGCTGCGCCTCGCCGAGAGCGTTCCTCGCAGGTCCGATCGCCGACAACCAGGGGAGGGAGAAGAGCGGTCCGTCGCCAGAGCGACCTTCGGTGTGCGGCGGTCGGGGGGAGGTGGGCCTGGCCCACGCGCGCAGGCCGCTGCTGTCGCATCGCACGCCACGTTCGGCAGGCCGCGAGCCAGGAGGCTTCCCCTGCCCAGGCCCTGAGATCCGACGTCCCGAAAAAAAAGCATCGTGAGAAATCACGACCGGAGCCCTCGGTCCCATTTTTCGGCGCCATGTTTCGAGCCGGATCGATCAGTGAGGGTCCCGGGAAGCCGTGCGAGAGCGCCGGTGGCGAAGCAGTTCTCTTCCGCGCCAGGATCTCAGTGAGGGGGGCCGCTCTGGCGTGCCAGCCGCGCAGACGAGCCGCTGGAGGAGCTGCGGGTCGTAGACCTGCGGGAGCGGCTCCGGGCCGCCGGCCTGCCAGTGTCGGGCAACAAGGCGGCGCTAGTCGTGGTGGGCAAACTTTCCACCACCGCCACCATATGTAGAACAGGGGAGAAGGGAGGATGAGGAGGTCCTCCTCCTCCTCCTCCTCCTCCTCCTCCTCCTCCTCCTCCTCCTCCTCCTCCTCCTCCTCCTCCTCCTCCTCCTATGGTAGTGGTGGTGGAGACTGGGCCCATCAGGTCGAGCGCTACCTGCGGGCGTCGGACGGGCTGCCGCCACCGCGCGGCTCCGCGCTGCGCGCCGTGCGCCGCGGGCTGGAGCTCCGGGTGCTGCTGCCCCCGCCCACGCTGGGCGCCTCGCTGCCCACCGGTGTGTTCGCCGTGGCGTGGACGGCTTTCACGGCGGCGCGCAGAGGGGGGTAGGGGGGGGGGGGGAAGGCTTCTGCTTGTCAGAAGGCCCCGGCCTTCTAAGAAGTAGGTGTGTTTCCAAGAAGCCTTCCCCCCTCCCCCTAACCCCCTCTGCGCGTGGCCGACCTTCACGGCCTTCTGGACCGGGAGCGTCCTGGCCGCCGGGGCCCCCGTCATGGCGCTGTTCAGCCTGCCCTTCTGGGGCGTGGGCGGCTCGATGCTGAGGGACACCTTGCGGCCGCTCCTTCGCGGCGCCCTGCAGCTCAGCATCGGCCGCGACTCGTGGCGCCTCGAGCGCGACGGCCAGGGCGGGGAGCCCATCGCGGAGGGGCGCACGGCGGACCTGCACTGCCGCCTGGAGACGTCCGCGGTCGTCAACGGCAGGGAGGTGCGCTGCCTTCTGCTGCAGGAGGGCCTGCTCGAGCAGCGCTGCGGCGAGGGCCTCCAGCCCGTGGAGCACGAGTGGCTGGTCGAGGTAATCTCGGAGCACCTGCGGCGGTGCCGTGCGGAGGCCGGGTGAGAGGTGTGGACGACCGGTTACGGTCGGTGCGGCCCAGCAGAGCCACCAGACCAAAGGAAGCCTTCTTGGGCGGGGCTGGGACGAGGATACACCGTCCCAGAGCGTTCCAGAACCCTCTCGGAGCGTCCCGCAGCGCTCCAGCACGGCCGCGGCGCCCGATGCATCCTCCAGAACCGCCGTATCTCAGAGATTCCCCAGCTGCCCCGTTCCGACGGTATCCTGGTCTTGGCCTCGTCTTACCTCCGGACATCGCTCGGGGACCCGTCGCCTCTCAAGGCTGGAGCGATGCACAGACCACGGCACGGCAGTGCCCACGAACTGTGATGGCCCGCACGGACCCAGGAGCACATGTGACGTCAGGAGAGAAAATCCGGCACAGACAAACACATGCCGATTTCCAGAAACTCTGGGAGGTGGAGGGGAAGGCGGATATCCAGAGCATGTGGAACAATAGGTAGAGTCCTGGAATTTGTGCCCACTTCTTTGTGCCCCCCAGAGCCACTGTACAGTGCTCCGCGCCAGCAAGAACTCTCGCCCTGCCCTCCTCGAGCTCGCTTCGTGGCCTCCCGCCCTTCTCCTGCTGCCTCCCGATCTCCTCCAGCCAGCCGCTCTCGAGCTCGCCTGTGTGCGTCGGCCCCGCAAGGGCGACGCGCGCGCCGAGAAATCTCACAGGATAGGCTCCGCAGCGGGGGCTTGCGATGTGATGCAGGCTTTCTGCACGACGCGGTCGTGTCGGATGTGCACCTCCAACCTCAGCGCGCAGTACTCGAGCGTCCTTCAGCGTCCCATGGCTCCCGCCCCCTCCCGCCTCCTCCTGCTTCTCCTCTCGCGCTGCTCTCCCCGAGCTCGCTCCCCACCACCGCTCGCTCGCCCGAGCCCGCCCCTCGAGGAGACGTGGGAGCCTGGCTGGTGGCTCGACGACGTCAGCCTGTTTAAGGACGGGGGGGGGGCCCTCCTCCTCCTCCTCCTCCTCCTCCTCCTCCTCCTCCTCCTCCCTCCTCCCTCCTCCCTCCTCCTCTCTCCCCTCCTTCCTCCCTCTCCCTCCCCTCCCTCCTCCCTCCTCCCTCCCCCTCTTCCTCCTCCTCCTCCTCCTCCTCCTCCTCCTCCTCCTCCTCCTCCTCCTCCTCCTCCTCCTCCTCCTCCCGCGGAAAGACCCACGGGCGCCAGAGTTGACCCCCTCCCCCTTCGCCAAGGGGACCCGTGGGGACGCAGGGGGGTCTTTGAATTAAACAGCATGAATTACACCTAGGGCGGTGACTAAAAAGCCGACACAACATCAGAGGAGGAGGAGGAGGAGGAGGAGGAGGAGGAGGAGGAGGAGGAGGAGGAGGAGGGAAAGGGGTGAGGCGCAAGGCACGCGCGGCAGCAGGGGCGGCCAGGCAGGGGCGGGGAGAGGAAAGGAGAGGTGCGGCCAAGGGGGGGGGTCGGGTCGGTGGTGGTGGTGGTCGTGGTCGCGGCGTTGTCGTGCAGTTGCTGGTCGTGGTCGTGGTGCCAGCTGGCGGTGTCCGCGGTGGTTGTCGTGCCGGCGCTGGTCGTGGTCGTGGTGCTGGCGGTCGTGGCGGTTGTCGTGATTAGGGTCGTCGTGGTGCTGGTGGTGGCGGCGGTGGTTGTCGTGCTGGTGGCGGTTGTGGTCGCGGCGCTGGTGGCGGTCGTGGTGGTTGCCGCGCCGGCGGTGGTTCAGCTGGCGGTGGCCGTGCCAAGGGGTCGCTGGCCTAGCGCCCGAGCGCGCTCAGCAGCATCTCAGCATTACCCCTTTGGAGGGTTCTGCTGATCTGCCGCCAGAGGCCGCCCAGCAGCTCGGAGCGGTCGCCGTCGCCGAGGCCGACGCCGTAGCTGCGGACGAAGCTGGCTGCTTCGTCGCTGGGCCGGCCCCCCGTCTCGAAGACTAGGGGGACCAGCTCGCCCCCGTGAGGGGGGTACCGCTCCCGCTTCTGGTCCACCGCCTGGGCGGCCGCCAAACCATCCTTGTCGGCCCGGGCACCCCTGCGTGGAGCGTAGGTTGAGTGTACGCAGGTGATGCTCCAGTCGACGTAGACGTGGCGTCCGGTGGCTGGGTCGTTGGTGGAGAGGTCCAGAACCGCTTGCTGGAGCACTCCCGTGCGGGGGTGTCGGCGATCCCAGGCGGGAGCGGATTGCTCCGTGGGCGCGGCGAAGCCGGTGAGCTCGGCGTGCTTCGCAGAGTGCCAGTCGCGGCAGCTGTTATGGCGTTTGTTGCGGGACTCACCCACCTCGCACTTGACTGCGTGCCAGCCGTGCGGGTCCAGGAGCTCGTTGCAGAGGCTGCCGTCCTGGCGGCGGTGCTGGCAGCGTGAGCCAGGCGGGCAGACCGGGATGCAGAGGCGACGCTTCAGGTTGCCGCAGAAATGCGGGTCGGGCTGGCGGGGGTCGTCTGGCTGGCGCGGGAGGAGCCAGCTGCCTGCGCCCGTGCCTCTGTTCTCCCGCAAGCGTAGGCGGCGGCCTCCTCCTCCTCCTCCTCCTCCTCCTCCTCCTCCTCCTCCTCCTCCTCGGTCGCCTGCGGCCCCGGAGGAAACCGTGCAGGCAGCGTCGGTTCACCGTCTGTTCACCGTCTGCCCCTCCTCTTGCCGACGTTGCGGAGCCCGGCTGGCGGCTCGACGACGTCAGCTTGCCCAAGGACGTGGTCCTCCTCATGCCTCGTCCCACAGGGTTCGACGACTCGTCTCCAGTCGGCCTGCGGGGATACAGTCGCGCACCCATATGGGCCGAGGCAATCTCAGGTACGTCTGTGAACGAGTGTGGACAGCACGTGGAAGATCGGGCTCGAGCCTAGGGTTAAGTCGGGCCTGTCACTCTTCAGGAGGAATATTTACAAACAGTTAAACATAGTAGGGGGACGATTATATATACATATATATATATGTATTTGTATATATATATATCATTATTGAGCATTTTGGGGGTGTTCCTTTAGTGTTGGAAATGTTTCCCCACAAATCCTCCTGTAGGGGGACAGGCCCGACCTAAGCCTAGGGGCAGTAGACGCCCTTCAAGCAAGCGCTCTCAGTGAAGCTGCCGCTCTTGGCCGCCGACCCAAAGGCGCCAGCGTGTTCGAACGGCATCGCCCACACACACACACACACACACGTATACGACCCCAGGGGCGCCGCGTGCGCTCAGACATCGTACAGTCTTATAGAATATCGGTGGCGGGCGCTCTGCAGCCACACTGCCAGGGCACTGGTAAACTGTACGATGTTTGTACTACATGCTCGGTTCGGTTTGTAATGGTACACATGACTCATTTCTAAGTCATCGTTTTTTGAATTTATGGGAGGCCAAGATCCGTTCATTTCTACTTGTTAATTAGAACGATTAGAAATGAACGACGTGTACATCTCCTTTTGCGTCCCATTTACGGTATGTTCATGCGGTGTTGGCGCGCGGGCGACTCTGCGCATGAGACGACGACGCGGAGGCACCGAGGGACATGGCAACGCCAGATGGCCCGACGGAACTCAGCCTTGAACGACCGGGGTCGCGATCGGTTCCGGGTTGAGAGACCGACGAGGTGTCAAAAACCTCTGCGCGTGCCGACGCCGCACGAGCCTGGCTCCAGACAGGGCCTCGCCTCCGAGGATCGAAGGAGTTGCCGTCTCTTTCTCGGCAGAGGGCGGCGCAAGGCGGGCGGAAGTATAACGAGGCCGCCTCCGCCTGCGGAAGCCAGCGGCCTCCCAGGAGATGGCAAGGTTGTCGTGTTCAGGGTGTCCCGAACAGATGGCCAGGGGGGGGCAGCTCGTTATCAAGCAAAGGAGTCCCGAGGAAAAGCGCCCTGAGTATTTCTCGGGCCTGACGAAAGGGGGGGATGGGGAAAGGGGGGGATTACGGAATCTGCTGAATGCAGCTGGTGTCGGCCCCGCCGCCGGGCCCATTGCTCGATACATGGGCGCCTCCCGGCGCCGGGAGGCGCCGGGAAAATCAGCTACGTGAGCTGATTCTCAACCCCCTCCGTTGCTATTCCCCCCTTTCGCCCGGCCTGAGTAGTTGTTCAGTGTTTTGGCTGCACGGTGTCCTCCATGGGTCCTGGGGCCGCCAGGCAGCGACCCGGTGCGATAAGTTGGTCTTGGGTGCCTCGAGGCCCGCTCCCCGCACGCCAGATCTGGCCAGCGAGACACGAGGCATCCGCTCGGCAAGCCCCGCAGAGACGCCGGAGGGAGGGAGGGAGGGAGGGAGGGAGGGGAAAATGATGATGATGCTGATGATGATGCTGCTGGTGATGATAATGATGATGCTGATGATGGCGATGTTGATAATGATGATGAAGATTCTGATGATGATGATGATGATGATGATGATGATGATGATGATGATGATGATGATGAGGATGATGATGATGATGATGATGATGATGACAATGATGATTCTGATGATGCTGATGACGATTCTGATGATGATGCTGCTGATGACGATGATAATGGTGATGGATGATGATGATCATGGTGATGATGCTGCTGGTGATGATGACGATGATGATGATGATGCTGCTGATGATGACGCTGATGATGATGTTGATGCTGATGCTGATGATGCTGATGTTGCTGCTCATGATGATGATTTCGATGCTGATGCTGATGATGATGCTGATGTAATTGATGATGCTGATGCTGCTGATGATGAAGGTGATGATGATGGTGATGCTGATGCGGATGATGAGGATTATCATGCTGATGACGATTATCTTGCTGCTGCTGATGACGATGCTGGTAATGGTTGTGCTCATGCTGGTGACGATTCTGCTGCTGCGGCTGCTGCTCATCGTGATGATGCTGCTGCAAATGATAATTGTGATGAGGCTGATACTGATGTTGATTGGTATGGTGGTGGTGGTGAGGTTGATAACGATGATGCTCATGTTGGGCATGAAGGCAACTTGCACTGGCATGGAGACTCTAAACACCGAGGCTACATAATTAGAACCATGGTTGGCACGGCACGCAAGAACAACTTCGTCGCACTGTGAAAACCAGGCACGGCACGGCACGGAAACGCACGGAATTTTTCTTGCATTCTGAGAACCAGGCACGGCACGGCAATTTTTCCGCACTCACAGCACGGCAGACCAAGCGCGGCACGTCACGGCGCGGCACGCGGGCACAGCTTGCGGGCAAGGCACGGCACGGCACCGCACCTGCATCGCATGTCCGACGCCGGCACAGAGCGGCACGTGGGCGCAACGGCACGGCACGGCACGGCACTTTATCTTATCGCCCTCTCGTTCTCGAGCGCGGCGCGGCACGGCACGCGGGCACGGCACGGTACACGGCACGGCACATTCTTCGCCTTCCCGAAACCAGGCACGACTTCGCACGGCATGGCAAGCGGGCAAAAAGAGCGCCATGTCTTCGCTCTTCTTGAAGCCAAGGGGGCGGCGCGGCATTCAGCAGGGCACGTGGGGGTATTGGACGACACGACACGATACACGCGGGCACGGCGCGTCAATTTTTCCCGCCCTCTCGAGACCAAGCAGGGCACGGCTAGGCAAACGAAGAATGACGTAAGCATGAGAACTCGGAGGTCCGCCAGGACTTCTCGGATCCGCGCTGGGCCCCCTGGCGGCGCCTCCGTCGCCGCCCCTGGCGCGAGGGGGGTCCAGCCTCCGATCCGAGACGTCTGCGCGGACCTCCGAGTTTTTTGATGTTCATGCCATTCCTTCGTTCCCCTCACGGCACGGCACCTGTCTCGCCCTCCCGCAACCGAGCACGGCCCGGCCCCGCACGGGGCGGCACGGCACATTTTTCGCGCTCCCACACAGAAGTTGTCGTACCGGGAACAAGATAACATGCATCTGATACTGATAGTGGTCATTCTGGTCCGGGGATGGCAGCGATTACGCTGGTTGTGATGTTGAAGGTGGTGATGCGGCCGATGATGTGATACTGATCATGGTAATGGTTGATCGAGATTGTACGGGTGAAGATGAGGGGGATGCATGATGAATGTGGCAGAGGTGGAGGAGGAGGAGCAGCAGCAGCAGTGGAGGTGGGGGGGAAGATGCATGACGAAGCAAGAGGAGCTAGGATGATGCACGAGGATGCTGGCAGAGGAGGATGACGAGTAGGATTGGTTTTACTTCGGACGCAAATCGGTAGGGGAACCAGTTCTTGTTGAGGCATCGCTGAGTGTGCATGGTCCCGAGGACGCCGTCCGCATGATGACGGTCGTCAGCTTGACCGACAGCGAGCTTCTCGTCGTGACTCGAGAGGCGCGGCGAATGGGCTTTCGAGTTCGGGGATGGGGGAGGCTCGAGGATCGAATTTGTGGGACGCTCGATTTTTCTTGGGCCTCTGGTGACATCCCGGGGAGCTCTAGAGACCTCATGGGGCCGCCTCTGTCTGGGGAAGGTAGAGTTGGTCAGCGCGAGACGCGTCGTTCCACGTTGCCTGGCCTCGCTTGCCGAGGAGGGCATGCGCCGACATTTTCGCGGCAGCGGAGGCCAGCGGGCATGACACGGAGACAGCCCCGCCATCAAATTTAAGTGTTGCCTCCCAGATACGCGTATGTGGCACATGTTCCAGTGAGAACAGCGACGACTATAGATATGGAGGCGCCACGAGTACAGCTAAAGTCCATAGTAAGGATGCGCTCCTCATCAAGGCTACCCTTGCATCCGTGCTTCTTTGGCCCGTCCTGAGCCAGTCGTGCCGTCCAGGGAGCTCTAAAGGGTGGATGGTACTTCCAAGGGTCTTGCACCCTTGCCGCGCATTCTTACTACGTTTTCTGACAGTAGTGTAGCATGGCTGCGCTCCCTCGCTGCGCCATGCACGGGCAGTCCACGGCTCTCCCTGCGGCCGCTTTCTGCCTCTCTTTCCCGCTCCTTGCCTCTGCCTCTGCGGTGGGGAACTTTGGCTCGGCGTGTCGCCCCGCAGGCGCTGGCCCACCACACTTCGGCGCGTCACGCTGCCCACGTCCCGGTCCCTGAGCGTCCACGTGCCGAGCGCCTTCCCGACCTCCCGCCCCAATGAGCGGAGCGACACGCCATCCCCTTGCAGGGCATCGGGTGTCGCCGGGGCCGCCGCGGCGACACGCCAGGCAACGGCTCCCGACTCCTGACCGTATCCTGTGCAGGTGACTGGCCTCCGCCTCCAACGTCTCTTCGCTCGCTCGCCCTGCCCGAGCCCGCTGCCCGCTCTCTGGCTGTCTGCCTCCCTCTCGTCAACCTGCGTGGCGGATTCCAGAACGCCTGAACCCAAGAGGTGGTCCTCTCACTCTTGGGAGGTCGACGTTTGCTTCCGCCAGCCTTCCGCCGGCCTTCCGCCAGCTCCCGCCGGCGGAGCCGCCCTCGCCTTACTTCCGCTGTCTTCCGCCGAGCTTCCGCGGCCTTCCGCCCAGGAAGAGATGACAACTCCCTCGACCCTCGACGGCGAGGTCCTTGCTGGAACGCTCCACGTGTGTGTGTGTGTGTGTGTGTGTGTGTGTGCCACAGGCGCCGGGCTGGTGCCGGGGGCGGTCGGGAGCAGGGCCAAGCCGAGGAGCATCGTGCCAACCGGGGCGCGGGAGCCGAAAAGTGCCCCCGCACCTAGGGTACAGCGCCAGGGCCGGGGATGGAGCCGAGCCGCGGAAAGTCCCAGAGGCGAGCCCGCGGCACGGGGGCCAGGGGCAGCCGGAGGCAGCAAGGACAAGGTCAGCAGAGGCCAGGCAGGCCTTCCAGCGTAGGCGCTTGTGTGAGTGCACATCTGTTCTGCTCTGTCCTGTTGCCGCCCTCCTGTCCCATCTCTGCTGCGGATGCTTCTGCCCTGTCTTGTCCGACTTCTCCGGCCCTCCACGTTTTATGTATCATGTGCCATCCTTCTGGTATTGCTAGAGGGATCCCTGGCCCAACGTGTCCCCAGCTTTCTGCCCCATGCTGGAGCCCCTGGGGCCCTCTGGGCCTCGTGAGAGGCGCTCTGTAGGCCGTGGGGGCTTATTTAGAAATCCAGGGGACACCTGAGGCCACGCGGACATCTTTGCAATCGCAACACCCGAGCCATGAGAGGATGCCGCGCCTCCTGTTCCTATCCCTGCTACTTCCCGTTGTTTGACCATCGTCTGGTCTTCTTGCGCCCGCGGACCAACAACAAAAGCTCCAGTGCGCGCCAGGAGGAACGAGGAGGAGGGGAAGGAGGATGATGAGGAGGAGGAGGAGGAGGAGGAGGAGGAGGGGGGAAGAAGGATGAGGGGAAGAAGAGGAGGAGGGAGGAGCGAGGAAGGATGATGATGATGATGATGATGATGATGATGATGATGATGATGATGATGATGATGATGGTGGTGGTGGTGGTGGTGGTGGTGGTGGTGGTGGTGATGGTGGTGGTGGTGGTGGTGATGATGCTGCTGCTGATGATGATGATGACGATGATGATGATGCTGATGATGATGATGATGATGAGGAGGAGGAGGAGAAGGAGGTGGAGGAGAGCTGAGGTACAGGAGGGCTCTTCCTCCTGCCGCGGCAGGCAATGCTCAAGCTGGTGGAGGTCTTCCCCGAGGTCGCGCGCTACTTCGAGGACGTGAAGGCGGCGGTGATCGCGGATGGGCTTCAGGACGCCCGCCGTCATTGCCTCTCCTTTCTTTCTTCTTCCCTCTCCTCCTCCTCCTCCTCCTTCTCCTCCTTCTCTTCTCCCTTGGCTCTGCGCGTGTCTGTTCCACACGCTGGATGAGGAAGAACACGGTTTTCAAGTGCAGCCGTTTTCTTCTGTGCGAGCGTGTCTCCCTGGCCTCATCGCGAGGCATCTGCACCTCTTCGGTGTGAGAGGCGGCAGCCGCGCAGTGGCGCCAGCTTTGGCAGCGTGCGGCTCCGCTCCCATCTGAGCGACTCCCAAAACGGGGTCGTCTGCGCCGACGTCGGCGCGTAAGCTGCGCGCGTAAGGTCGCGCGTAAGCGCCCTCGTCTCCAATGTGGCGTGCCGTGCTGGCTGCCCGCGTAAGCTGCGGCGTAAGGTCGCCGTGTCATCTCGCATAAGACCCGGTTTTGATCGGCGCTCATCTTCGGTCTTCCAGAAAAAAAAGAAGGACGCTCGCCACCAGCATGGGGCGCCAGCAGATGTGCCAGGGGCGGGTATCAGGGGTAGCGTTACATAGGAGTGGATAAGGCTCAGGGTGGGACGACGCTTGGAGCTCCGAGGTTCGAGGGCTGTCGGGCGTTTTCGAGGGCCCTCGGCGGTTCAGCCTAGGGGATCCAGGATCGCTGGAGACCCGAGTCATGGCCCAAACATCCTGGCCCATTGATCATTGATCGCCGATAGGGGCTCGATATCCCCCCCCCGCCCAGGAACGTGCGTATTCGCTAACGGCGGCTTATCGCTAATCTATCGGCGGTGTATCGCTAACGGCAATGCTTCCACTCTGAGCTGGTCCCCCCTAACGGTGCCCCTGAGGGGAGGAGGGAGGAGGCTGAGAATCTAGGCCTCTCAATTGGGGCCTGAGTCGATGGGGTCCAAGGATCGCGCCGACGTCGCCGATGCATCAGCGATGCGGCACGACCTGGGACTCCTCTGATAAATGTATAACAAATCATCTGTCGCGCAGGGTCGCCCAGGGGGCGTCATTCGCTGGGAGAAAGAGAATTCGATATTACCCAGCACGGCGAACAATAATGGGAAACTAATTGGCCGGCAGCGTCGCGGACGCCGACGCCTGCGACGCGCGCGCATATTGAATACACACATATGCGTGTGTATATATATATATATATACACATTCAAGCGCACGGTGCAATCCTCTTACAAACACGACGGGTTGAAGCAGGGGATGATGAGCGCAAATAATATGTCGATCTATATTGCGCACTTGTTGCGCACGTCCTCATAATTCAATTGTCGCGCTTCTTCTTCTCCATCCCGATGTCGCCAGTACATCGGCGATGCATCTGCGATACGGTGCGATCTTCTCGCCGCGTGTATTCTGGCAAATTTGGAGGGCATCCCAGGCAGAGGCAGGAGCCAGCAGGAGGAGGAGGAGGAGGAAGAGGAGGAGAGTTTGCAACATCGTAGGGGGCGGAGGAGGATGGTCGGTGACATCGCAGGGAGCGGTCGCAGGAAGATGGGGAGGGACGAGGGACGAAGGAGGGGCTAGAAACAGGTTGTGTTGGTTGTTTGGCACGGTGAGGGTGTAGAGTTCTTGCTTATGGAGTGCCAGGGGGAAGGGTGCATGAGGAGGGGCCTGAGGAGGGGCCAGGTCACACCTGCGGAACTCGTCAGTTGCGGGCGTGGTGCCTCATTCCGTGCATTGTGCTTTAAAATCCTTGCGCTGGGGAATCGTGACAGCGTGAGTCTCAAATCACGTCCACTCATCGGGGGGCCAAGAGGCTTCAAAAGGCCCCTGGGGCCATGTCTGCCGCTGTTCATCGGGGTGGCGGTGTGTCAAGGCAAATCATGTTCCTGTAAATCGTGATTTGCGTGCGGCTGCTCGGTCAGGTATCACACGCCAAAATGTGCATGTGCATTTACCCAGGATGAAATTGGCACGTAGATCTGTATGTGCAATGAGACAGGACCGCTACGATATGGCAGCGAGCAGCCCAGGATGGACTATCGGGACGCTGCGACATGTATGCGGTATGTTTCCCGTCGGCTGTCAGGGAGCGGTTATCTGATATCTGACAGCTAGTCAGAGCCCCAAGGGTGCGGACGCACGCCGGGCTTGCTGTGCTGCAGTGGTGCGATATTGGGGAGTGGCGATGAGGTGGGCATGTGCGAGGTTTCCGTGCCTCTCCTCGTCCCGCTCCTCTGGATTTTTCGCCTGCTGCTGCTGGACCTCCCGGTCCTCTGGTGCTGCTGATCCTCCTGCCGCTCCGCCTGCTCCTTTGGCTGCCTCTCCTCCTCCACCCGCGATCCTGGGGGCATGCCCTTGTTCTCGCAACGCGAGCCCGAAACGGTGTGGGCGACCCTGAGATCCTGGCGTTGCCTTTTTTTCACAACGGGCGTTTTCGCCCGCTTTCGGGCCCCAGGATCCTCACATATCGATCTGGCTCGACAGATGACGCTGAAAGATGGGGTCTGGGGCCACGGTCGTGGTTTCTCACGATGTTTCAATGTTTCCGCGACGTCGGATCTCAGGGGGGGACAAACAGCAAGGCCCAATTTCCTCCTGCTCCTATTCTGCTCCTGCTCCTGCTTCGCGAGCTCGACGTGGCCCTCCGTAGCCACTTTGGTTCAAGCTGTCTTGGCGGGGTGTTTTCAACCCAGGCGATCTCCTTTCAGCGCGCTGCCCCCCCCCCGCGTTCGGCGACATGGCCCGCTCCGCGTCCCTGCTGATCGCCTGCGCCGTCGCAGCCATCACCGCTCTGTCGGTGGGCTCCGTCGTGCTGTCCTTCGTCGGCACCTCTCCCCCAGCCTCGGCGGGCCTCCGGACCAGGCAGCGCTCTCCAGCCGTGGAGATGCACTTCTTCAACTTCGAGCCGGTGACGACCACGCCCCCGCCGCCGCCCGCTGGCGCTTTCGGCCTGGACGCCGCGAATAGCGGCACGTACATCGTCGTCATGACCATCCTCTTCTTCGGCTCGGTGCTCGCGAACGGCAACGGCTTCTTCGGACCGTGGCGAGCCAAGGGGACCAGCGAGCGGACCGACGGAGCAGCCAGCGGGCTGGGGTGGCTCCTCGACGGCGCCACGTTTTCCCGTGCTGCCTGCGCCCGCTTCCGGGCGCCGTTTCTGCAGCCGGCACGTCTGGGTTGCTTTCGGTGCGATTGTAGCTGAACCCGACGTAGTCAGGAAAGACGAGAATGAAAGGAGCGCACAGGGCATCAGAAGGCCGGAAGGCAATAGAGGTTGTTTTTGTTAGTCTGGCGATCAGCCGGGTTATCGAGCTCGCCCCCCCCCGCCCCGAGATAACCTCGCCCTGTCGGTTGAGCAGGTCTGCAGGGGGTCGGGGGGCCCGGGGGGCACATGCGCCGCGCCCGCGCATCCCAGTGCTGGCGATCCAGACATCTCCCCAGGCATCCCCAGACGGCGCCCGAATCGTCGCAGCACGAACAACAGCATCGCCGAAGCATCGTCAGCAGCTGTAGGGGCCGCAGCACGGAGTGCGCGCGGGCAAATGCCCACAGCGTGTGGAGGTTAGGTTATCGGCTGGCCCTTCCCCCCCAGGCAACCCGGGTGATGGCCGATCCAGAAGACAGCCTCACACCGAATAGAGAAGGCAATGGCCAAGCAAGGAGCATGAGTGGTACAGTTTGCACGCCCATCCACATATCGATCATTTCTCGAATGCCCCTCTCTCTCTTCTTTCATTCGTCTTTCTATCATTGTCTCGCTGAGCCATCGCCATGTTTCTTCTTCTCCTCTGTTCTGACTTATCAATGTATGGTTCCGTTTTGCCTCCTCATGGTTCGCATGCGCTTTCTTTCTTCTTGCAAGCAGGATGCTGGCCTGTGCTGCATGAGCTGCGGACATCCTGGCCACTCGGCGCTCATGTGCCCAGTGTGAGAGACGCGCGCACATGAACTGGTGTTCCACTATTTCCCATCCCCCTCGTCCGCATTCTCGCCAGCATCGCCCTCTTGTGCACGCTCCGCCTCCTCGTGCTCTCGGGAAGCCCGTGCCAGGGCTCTCTCCTCCACCCTCCCCCTCCGCCGTCCCTCACTCCGCTGTTCCCTCCGGCAGCATCTCTCCTTTCTCAGCTCTCCTCCCCCATCCCTTCCCCCCCCGGCCCCCTCCCCCCCTCTCGTCCTCGTCCCTCGTCACTCGCCCCTCCTCTCTCTTTCCTCCTCCCTTTGCCGCCCTCCCTTCGCCGCCCTCCTCCTTTTTCTCTCCCTTCTCCCCCGCCCTCCTCCCTGCTCCCGCTCCTCCCTTGTCAGTTGTTGTTTCAGATGCATGTCTCAAGTAGGGAATCGACTACAGAATTGATCTACCCCAAAATTGATTTGTTCGTCGAACTAACGAATTAAACGTATAATATTCGTATACCAGCGGAAATTATGCGTATTTGGTTGTACGTTCGACGAGAAATCTGTCACGCTCCCCTACTCAACCGTCTGCGCCAGTCCCAATGAGAAGCGCCGAATGAATTCTCGTCGTCCACGGTTCCACCGCATCTGTACACGTTGCCCAGTCCAGCGCAAGCAATCGCCCTTCTTGGCATGATGTCTGTATTCTTGTGGGCGGACCACTTCGTTCACTTACAAGCCGTAACATACTAATGCAAGTTGTTTTCAGCTGTTCTTTCGGGTCCGATCTCACGTGCCTGTTCGATATACCAGCCAAAGCAAGATCTAGCGCCGTGCGCAGCATTGCTTATGCCATGTGCGTGGTGCGTGGCATCGTGTGGCGTTGTGCCACGTGCCGTGCAGCCACAATAATGGAATCACCGTCAGCACAACGGCGCAAGCATACATCTCCGCCGGATTCGGTAAACTTGGCGACACCGCTGGTCAGCATTGCACAACGTTCGCAGTTCTGGCCCATCTGGAACGACACACTACCAAATGAACTGACCTGTCACTGGGCCACTTGAGCTTGCAGACCAGTCGCCGCAACCACGAAGTGAGGAGCAGTTCCAATACGAACAGGATGATGATGATGCTGATGATGATGCTGATGATGATTATGCTGATAATGATGCTGGTACTGATGCTGCTGATAGTGCAGATGCTGATGCTGATGCTGATGAGGATGGTAATGATGATGATGCTGATGATGGTATTTGCGACGACGCAGTCGACGGTGGCGACGATGCGATGATGATGATGATGATGATGATGATGATGATGATGATGATGATGATGATGATGATGATGATGATGATGATGCTGATGCTGCTGATGATGATGATGATGGTGATGACCATGATGATGCTGATGTTGATGATGACGCTGATGATGATGGCGATGATCGCGATAATGGCGCTGATTTGGATGATGAAGAAGAAGATGATGATGGTGATGACGGTGATGACGGTGATGGTGATGATTGCGATGATGCTGATGCTGATGCTGATTATGCTGATGCTGATGCTGCTGATGCTGATGATGGTGGTGGTGGTGGTGATGATGCTGCTGAAAATGATGACGATGACGATGGCGGTTGTGATGTTGTTTCCGATGAAGAAGACAATGATGATGATTATGCTGCTGATGATGATGCTGATGTTGCTGCTGATGATGATGGTGCTGCTGCTGATGATGATGATGATGATGAAGATGATGGTGGTGGTGGTGGTAGTGATGCTGAGGGTTGTGGTTGTGGTGGTGTTGCTGATGAGCAAGATGAGGAGGAATATGTTTCGAACATGATGTTGGAAGAGGAGGGGGGGGACGGAAGGGAGAAGCAACGTTAGGAGAGAGGAGGCTGAACGTGGGGAGGGGGGTAAGGAGAGGGAGTGTGGAGGGAGGAGGGAGTAGGACAGATAGCATGGAGGATGAAAGGAAGGGTGGAGGATCACCTCGGGTGTATGATTCGTCCACGAGTGGGTCGCCATTGCCGGAACAACCCGTAGTGGGGTGTGTCTCGGTGAGTGGGGGACATCCGACACTTGGCCTAGAGTGGGGGGGGGTATAGCTACGGCGTCGAGATGCCCAGTGCGGAGTAACTGCTTGTGCTCCTCCACCGACGGACCGTATCCGCTATCTATCCCCCCATTCTCACTCCAATTTTTTTGGCGATTCAAGCGAATCTGGGCTTACTATGGGGTAGTGTCCTGGAATGCGGAAGCGAACGTGCTAGGGCAGTGGCCCGCTAGCTGAGTTGGGTAGGTGGGGGCTACCTTACCTCGTCCCGGACGGGGCTGGCAAAATGCCCCCCCGCCCCCCCAGCCAACGACGAAGAGACAGTTGAAGTAGAGTAAGTCTCTTGCCTTGGGAGAAAAACAGTAGCGATGGGCACGCTGTCAGGGGGGGGTCCTAGAGGGTAGGCCGATCCGATCAAATGGACGAGCCTGAAGACGGCTCTCCACAATTCACTTCCGCCGAATTCACTCCGGGGAGAATGCGACGGCGACGACGACGTTTCAAGCATACATGCGTCTGCGGACCTTGGCGTCTCTTGAAGGCATCTTGGAAACTGTCTTCCATGTTGGTGGCCATCTTGGGCTACCTAGCGTCTCCTTGGAGCCGTCATGGTCCATTTCGGATGCTCTGGAGCTTCGCGGTGGTTCTCCATATCCTCCCTCAAACATCGGTGGTGGACAGAACCCCCACCCTGACACGTCGATTAGCGCATTGTCCCGTTTCGGTTCTCGAGAGGGCGCCGCGGCCGTCATTTTCCAGGCCTGCGCCCGCCAGGTTTGGGCCCGAGGTCGTTTTCACTAGACCACGTTTTGCTAAAGAGGATTCTCTCCACCCCCGAGAAAACAATTAGTAGACAAGGGCCAGGAGCAGGTGCCCCTGCGCTGACGGCCGTCCCCGAAACAACGAAGAGCAGATTCCCAGGTGGAGTGCCCCATCACGGAGAGTACACGGGTACAGCCGGACCGAGGTAGGAGATCGAGGTCGGTTCGGGGAGGGCACCTTCATGTTCTTTCGTGCTTGTTGGACGTTCCCGTGCATCCTGGGGAGGGTACCCATCGGATGCTCTGTGTGTTTTGACTGGCGGAGGGCCTCATGTTCCTGAAGGACGTTCTTCTGTCCCAGGTCCGACGGTACCCATCCGAAGCCAGGGTTGCTCTTATTCACAGTGCCCTTGGCACCCTGCCTGCTTCGCGCCTGCGGGTGCTCGACGGCCTGAGCGGGGGAGCCGACTGGGTCGATCGACTCGAGTCGGTGCGCAGGGCTACGGGCCCTGATCCACAGGGAAGCCGATGCGACGCATGCCGACAGCCAGGTGGACATGCGGTCACATGACCCAGGGATTAGGGTTGTGCCTCCATGTGGCTCTGGGTGTCCATGCGTCTGCATGCGCATCCATCGAAAGCTGGACTGACTGGCGATCGGGTCGAATCGCTGACCTGCGAGGGTAGGCGACGGAATCGCTGCGTTCCAGTCGAATCTCGCTGTGAAAGAGAAAAGGACCCCCTGGTGGGACGGACGAAAACTGGACGAACAATTTTGCCACAAAGCCCAGGGAATGGGGTTGTACCTCCAGACTTCTCTGGATTGCAATGCCGTTGCGTGTGCATCCACAGGGAGCTGTTTGTTTGGGCGCGCTGGTCGAGTCGCTTCACTGCGAGGGCAGGCGAAGGTGGTGCAGCGACCCTGTCGAGTCGCGCTGTGAAAAAGCGCAGTGTCCTAGCAACTCTCTGGCGGGGCGGCCGACAGCTGGATGAACCTGCTGTCGCATTAGCCAGGCGAGGGATGGGTTCGCACCTGCAGGGTGCTCTGATCTCCGGCCATCAGAAGCTGGGAAGGGATGGCGATCCAGTCGAATCACTGAAACGCGAGGGTCGGCGACGCTAGCGTAGCGATCCAGGCGAATCGGGCTGTGAAAGAAAGTTGTGCTGGTGGGGAGCGAAGCCCCTTGAAAGCCCTGTCACCCCAGCGCCTGGTTGGGGTGCTCGTCGGGTGCGTGCACGCGCCCTTCGGGGCGGCCTCGTGCGTCTCCGACCACTGCGCGTGCACGGGAGAACGTGGGGCCACTGGCGCCGGGATGGGGACCAGCGAGGAGAGGAGTGAGAGGCCAGGAGACGAGACGAGATGATGCTTCGGAGTAGGGAGAGGAGGAGTAGGAGAAGGAGGAGAAGGAGGAGGAGGAGGAGGAGAAGGAAGAAGAGTGCGATGAGACTAAAGAATCCGATGACGACGAGGAGGAGATATATCGAGGTGGAGGAGGACGCGATGGAGGATGGGGAGGAATCATACAAGCAGGTGGT